AAGACTCTGCTTGGCTTACAATCTAACCATATCTTCAGGGGCAATCAATTTTTCCATTATTTTGAGAGACATAAACAGAGCTGCAGTTCATTAAATCTTGTTTTCAAAACGTTTACAAGTTATAAAGCTCTTCAGAGGCTGTAGTTACTGCTGTTTATGCCCAGCGGTCTCGTAAATGCGCTCAATTCATTTTAGAGCCAAGTTTTTTAGCTACTCGAGCTGAGAGATTTTAATGTGGGCATAAACGTTGATCAGTTGCAATTCAAATAAGTTTATATTGTGTCTGGGCTGTGAATGTCACGTTGATATAAGCACGTTAAGGTCATTTACTAGGAGAGCGAGAGAGAAAGAGGCAGAGAGGGAGAGAGAGCGGGACAGCAGACAAATGTGGTTCAATGTCCAATGCAAGCGGACAGGCAACCACTAACCCACTAAACCACTGACCACTGCTAGCCAGCCAAGCGGCCAATGCATTCGAAACGTTTCGCTGGACGCGTCTGACAAGACTCTGAGAAGAAAAACAAAAAAAAAAGCTATGAAATGGCCGAAATGCTGACATGTCCAATAACTTTTGGGCATATAATTTGGTGGCTTGACACAACTTTTTTTTTCGTGTTTTCTTGCGGTTTTGGGCTTCCATTGTCAAAGGTTTTCTTCACATTGTTGCGCTTGAAAGAGCGAAAACTATTTTTGTTTTGTCATTTGATTATTTTACAACGTGACCTTGACATTTGTCAGACAATGTGACAGCTGATGGAAAATTTTCGTAGTTTAAATTAGAATGGAAAATACTAGTTTTTTATATATATGGAAAACATGGTATTTTAATAAAGTTAGGAGACAGATATTGAGTCTGAGAAAGGTATACAGAGCGTGATAACAGGGAGAATTTCATTACATCTTCAGCATGCGATAGAAAAAGAGATAAAAATAGAGCTAAGCGCTAGAGAGAAGGATTGTGAGAAATAATACAGAAATTACCAAGATAATGATTATATGATTGGAGTATTGAAGACTAAGCTTATAGATATATTGGGTAGTTAAGAAATAAAGATAGTGATCATTTAAGAAATATTTAAAATTCATTGGATTCTGTATAGAGATAGATAGAAGACAGCGAGAGAAAGATATAAAGAACGTCGAAAGAAATATAGGGAAGTAGTCAGTTGAATAGAGACGCATTTTTGCAGACATCAATCACAAAAGCTACTCAATTTATTATCTTAATAATTTCTGAGCTCAATCTAATGTCATACATTAGGTTTTCACACATTCCCCTTGCATTTCCCAAGAGAATGTTGCAAGAGAGAAATCCCAACAACGAGCAAAATAACAAAACCAAAAAAAAAAAAATTCATTTTAATGCACACTTTTCACAATGTTCGATCACGGCTCGACTTGCAGAAGTTAGAGAAACAACGTGCCAAAGTGCCATTAAGTGCATCAGCAGCAGCAGCAGCAACAACAACAACAACTTGGTGTGTTGTGTTATGTTTTTTTGGCACTTGGCAGCAGTTGCCACATCGTGGCCACATTTTCCCAGAGAAGACTGAAGACTGAAGACTGTAGACTGCGACGGTGTCTGAGACATGACCCAATAACAGGGATTAGCAGTCGAAGCAGCCGAAGCAGCAGCAGCGGCAGCAGCTGTTCGACTTTATGTCTGTGTCTCGACTAGTTGCCACTGCCACTCAATCATTCAATCAGCAACTGGGGGTTAACGCTCGTCCAGTCAATCAGTCAGCCAGTCAGTCAGTCAGTTAGTCGGTCGGCAATTAGTCCAATTTTTTTTTTCTGTATTTTTTTAGTGCTAAAATTAAATATTGCGAAAATTCTTTTCAGCTGCTTTGCTTGGCACATGAAACATGTGTTTCACGCCGCTCGCAAAAATATTTGAAAAATCTGTAATTCTCTAAAGGCTGGTGGTGCTGCTGCTGCTGCTGCTGCTGCTGCTGCTGCTGCCACAAAAGCCATTCACAAAAACGGCTTCAATCATGCTATAGCCAGGCAGCTGTAATCTTTATGCTTGGTGCTGCGGGGCGTATGAGCAATGTCGTTAAACTGCTTGGCGCTAATGAATGGTTCCATAACCATTCCACAGCACAACAGTTCAATTCGCCAGTTCAGCGCTGTTTACGATCGACGATCTACAAAATGCCACAAAACAGCAAAACAATCGCAATTTGCACGTACGCAGCAATTGTATAATTTGATATTTCGTATCAAAAGACTTTGGCCGCCAACCACTATTTGTTGGCCCGACTATGCAATTATCATTTTGTCTTTGCCGTTTTTTTTCCTCTGATTTTTATTTTGAAAATCTTTTATTTCAAAAAATCTGCTATTGCTGCATTTGAAGAATAAGAATTATAATTTTGAGCTGAAATCAAATAGAAAAGTTCTTTAGAAACTCAAGTCAACTTGAAAACATGATAGAATAAACCTTTAAGTTCCAAATAAAATTTATATAGTTTACGTTTTTTCTTAGATCTCTAGACTACAGATTGGAAAGCTGTTTTAATGCTGTAAAATTATGCTAAGTAATTGTCCTCAGGTGCAAATTATGCTTATGAATTATGCAAACATTTGAAAGAACTTCTGTGTCCAAATGTATAATCAAATTTTATTTTAGATCATACATATTTAATTTGAAATTAAAATGCCGTTGAAAAAGTTTTGCATATGTTAAATAACAGATGTAAGTGTGTAAGAACTCATCAAATTAGGCTGACGAGAATCTTATGGCAATTTATTTTTGTTGAGCTTGTAACTCGTTAGGCATATCATTTACATACCTAATATTTATATAAACATTTCTCTTTAAAGTGGTTTGAAAATAAATGGAAGAGAATGAATTCAATTAAATATAATGCTTAGATTAATTATAATTACAAAAAAAAAAAAAATTAGAATCAATCGAACTACTGAATTTACTATTAAATTTCGATATGATATACACATACATTTGAACAATCATTTCAACGTTAATCATCATCACTGGTGTATGAACTCACATAAACTGCTTCTGCAATTCTTACATTATAAAACTCGTAACTCAATTGACTAATATTATTGGCCTCTTTCTACTGCTCAGAGTTCAAGGTAAACTGAACTCCGGCAAAGGTTATGCTAATAATAATATCGCTTTAAGTCTTATAATGACATATAAATCAGAGATTTGCAAATAACAATAAGAATATTATTGTTGTTTTTTGTCTCACCAACATAATTAGCCAGCGACCGGCTAAGATCGGTGAGTCCCCCGCGCAAACAATACACCAAATCGATCTTATCGCGCCGTGCAAAAATCGTCTGCAGCGCTTAGAACTTGCTTCAACATCATTAGCATAGAGTCCAAAAACTCATCGAACTCATCAAAATTCACAGCTGATTCGCGCAAAAACAAAGAAAAGAAAGAGATAAAAATAAATCATTAGGTGAACTTGTTCTGGAATCAGTCAATAAAATCCATAATTATTGAAAAAAAGAAAAAAAAATATATTTCATTATGACTCGGCACTTTTTTGCAGCTTTTGTGCTACAAACAAAAACAAACCTTGAGACAAGCTAAAGACTAAAATGGCACCAGCCTCTCAGATGGCCCGGAGCATTAATACAATATATTATGCAAGAGTTTCTAATATAATATAAAAACGATTGGGAATCTCCACGGATATAATAAAAAAAAAAATCCCTAACTATTTAAATATATGTACATATATTAATTGTGGCCTTTTTCAAGCAGTTTGTTATCTGGCACGTCCATTTATGGTTTATAGCTGACCTATATATCTATAGAATAAGGCTCTAGTGAAACCTAAGAATCATATTCTGGTAATTGATGTACTAAAGATTATTTATGTTTATTTGTTAATTTTTATATTTTATTATTTTTAAAGTATAATAAACTGTAAGAGAAAGCTTAGAGTATTTTGTTTTAAGTTCCGGACCTGCAAGAATCAGTTTCATTTTGTCTGAAGGAGCTTACATTAAGCCTTAGAGGCTTAACAGCTAGCTGTTGACTTAACATGAACTGCAGCTGTTGCTTAACAGCCTCTCAGTATGTTATTAGTGGAGAGCGCTGTAAGCTAACATCGGATAACGCTGTTAATTAACTTATCAGTGAACGTTACACTTGCTCTGCTCATCCCTGCTGGCCTTTTATAGTTGGCCTGGTATGCCAGCTGAATTTCAAGCCGAATTTTAAGTCGAATCGTCCCGCGAGGGTATGCAATTAAATTTGTATTTAGCTGATTTTAAGCTACTTGAAAAAAACAATATATTTATTTTTTTTTTTATTTTTAAGAGCTTAGAAACATATTTTTTGTATAATTGTAAAGAATTTGAAAAGTTTTATTTAGCAATTGTTTGTTTGTGATTGGAAGAGAGCTGATCTGGCTTATACCGGATAATAACTATAGTTAATACGTATGCGATTTCGAAATGCAATTTGTTCTGGCTTAGTTGCATTTGTGGTGCGACCTTGAGCCACATTCTCTGCACCACAACAAGTTGGCTTTGCTAGCAGTTCAGCTCAACTCTCACCCAATGCAGAACAATTGACAATTTTTTTAACGTTCCACTCGCATGCGATCAATAAGCGTGACTCTGTCCGTTCTAAAAGTCATGTTACTCTAAGTTACATATATATGTATATATACTGATGTATCATATCTTCTTTTGTATCTTGCAGATACTTTTTCTCCACGGTGCTGCAGTTTCAACTGTATCGCAGCATGTGCCGTGCCGCCGGCCAGTATGTGCCCAACGATCCGCGAAAGCCGCTCCACAAATGCGACATCTATCGGCAGCCAGCCGCAGGCAATCTATTAAAGTAAGTAATTAATGAGGATTCATTTGAAGTAATATTTACTACAATTGTAGTTTATTTGTATTATTTTGAATAATCTTCTTAACCTTAAATGATATATTCTGTAATATATAATATATATAATTAACTCTATATACACAACTTTATCTTTCCCTCCTTTTTCCTCTAACATCAATTAGACAACTGATGGCCAAAGGGGCTTCCCAGCCCTGGCAAGAGGTTCTACAGGAAACCCTAGGCGAGGGTCGTCTGGATGGCAGTGCTCTACGGGAATACTTTGCACCGCTCGAGGAATGGCTACGCCAGGAGGCCTTGCGCACCAACGAGTATGTGGGCTGGAATTACGATGGGGATTACTGCAAGCGCAGCATCGAGACAGCCGGACTCCAGATCTTTGGTGGCTATTACAATGCTGCAGCGGGTCCGCTGGTCAGTCTAGTGTTACTTGGCCTATGCAGCTGGCTGAGCTCTTCTCTAATATAAGAGAGCATATCTGTAAAATATATAAATCTGAATATACATATATATATGTTGATTTCCGCTTTAAGTCAAGTCGAGTCGAGTTGAACTTGAAACAAAGCCAAAAACAATAAAAATGTTAATAAATGCGAAACAAGCATACAAATATTTATACAGTGTAATAGAGGGGGTGGTGTGGGGGGCGTGGCAGCTATGATGCGGGTCATTGGAACGCCAGCGTCGCACGCACATTGCAGCTCTTGTTGTTGCTTCATAATTGAATCAAATAATAAACATAAAAAAATTACTCTTTTCTCGCTCTCAGCTCAACTGGTTTTTGTTTTGTTTTTGTAAATTTGATTTAATAAATTGCAAGCCACAATAAGCAACAACAACTGCAACAGCAACTGCAACTTCAGTGTAAACAAGATAATCAACGCCGGGTCGCTTTCGGGGCGTGGCCTGACCACAGATGGGGGCCAGCAGGGGCCTGCATGCAGCTCAGTGTCAGCTTTGTTCTCAAAGTTTGTCTAAGAAATCAGACACTTGAGCTGAGTGAGCGTTGTTTTCGCTGTCTATCAGCGCAGGGGCGTAGCAATGGGTGGGGCGGGGGGCGGCAAGGGAGGCGTGCTTCAGTTTGTTTATGAAACCCATTACAATCAATAAGCCAAACCGAGCGAAGTTGACGTGGCAATTGCCATAAAGAATTTTGGATGAAGATGATGAAAATATTGTTGCAATCTTCTAAATTAAAATTTGTATTGCTTGAGGATGTTTAGAATTTAATATTGATGCAATATCAAGAGATTAAAAACGATCAATAGGTAACTTTTCAACAAAAGTTCTATTTATTATTCCTTAACTCAAATTCTGTTAAGCAGAATCTCACTATCAATAAAAGTTACTCTTATCAAATCGCAAAAGGTGTCGAATAAAATGAACTGATTAAAGCACACAATTTGAGACAGCCAAGCAATAAATTCAAGTTGTTTTCCTCGATTCAGATATAAATCCGATTTCTTCATTTAAATGTAAGTTCTACGTTAATTTATGCATTCTCCCACGTTCCGTCAACTGTCGCCGATTGTCAACAGAAAAGCGCAAGTAACAAAAACAAAAAGCGCGTTTACCTCGCTTAAACGGCAACGGCAGCAGCAGCAGCAGCAACAACAAACATGTTAAGGACATTATCAACATTTCAATTAGGTGCAATCATCGTGAGAGGGAGAGACTGAAGCAGACAGAGAGAGAGTGAGAGAGAGAGAGAGAGAACTCAACAGTTGATCGAGTGTAGAGTTGCACTGTAGACTAGCACAAGTGTGTGTCTGTGTCTGTCTCTGTGTATAGGTATGTGTGTTTCGCATTTCACTTTCATTGTAGAGTTCGAACTGTATGCAGTGCGTACTTCCGCCCTGTCGCCCGTACGCCCCCGCTGTGCCCCGCTGCGGCACAGCGGCCTTCATTAGCTCGACAAAAAGTGTCGTCGGCTTCGCCAATTTGCAATGACAACAATTTGATATACACAAACACAGAGGCATACACATATGTAAACATATGTATGTATATGTTTTCCCCATTTGTTTACTGTTTCACTGATTTTGGAGAAGGAACACGCGACCAGACACAGACGTGCTATTGAATCGCAGCCAACGGGAAAAATAACAGTCACTACGAGAGTCGCGTTCCAAGCGCACACGCAACGCATTTCGAGCGGAAAGATTCTGACTTAAGAACATTTGAAATCTAGTGAAAGTTAAAGAAAGTTCGAGCAGCATAATAAGCCAAAGAATTTGTTAACTAACTTAACAAAAGACATTGAAAATAGAACGATAATTGTAAATATTCAAAGCTGATTTAAGAAAGGATCATAAGACTAAATATATAAATATTACAATAAACATAAATTACAATAATGAGTGTGAATGTTGGAAGTGAAAGTAACAAAAAAAAAAAAATAAATAAAAATTGTATGAAATAAAAATAAAAAAAAAAAAAAATAATAAACAAACATAATGGTATAATAAACTAAATAAAAACCAAAATATAAAAAATAAAATTTACTTTATTAGAATAGTATAAATAATTAATTTGGCTATCGAAAATAAAATGTTCTATTAACAAGCTAAAAATACGAATTTAAAAATAAACAAGAATTTCACAATCGTCGAATATATAATAAAAGAAATTAATAGAGAATAAAAAATATAATTAAACTAACAATTATTGAGAAATAAATAAACAATAATTTTCTATAAAAATAATATTTTATAAAAATATTACAATTAAATTTGGACTTTGTTAATTAAGCCTAGCAAATATATAAGTAAATTAAAAACGAAAAGATTTCAAAATTTACAAATCAATATCAGATAACATGAAGCTGCCGCAAGTGTGTTGCAACTTGCGGCTGTCGGTGCTGTCGGTGCTGTCGGTGCTGCCAGTGCTGCCAATGCTGCTGTTGCTGTTGCTGCAAGTTGTCGCCAGCGACAGTCAAAACAATAGCCTACGTGTGAACACTTACCTCAAGGATGTGAATGCAACGGCCATGGCGTTGCCCTCAATACAGAGCACGGGCAACATTTGCACGCGCGAGGAGCCGTACGAGGAGCTGCTGCAGGTGCCCGAGGTGCAGCCGGTGCGGGTGCGCACCTCCACCTGGTGCCTGGAGATACCGCCGCGCTGCCCCTCCTACAAGACGGAAATGCGCGAAGTGATGAAGGTGCAGGTGAGTCCAGGTGTCTAACAAATGCCCGAATCTCGACTAGCCAACTGCCCAACTGGCCAAGTGGCGATTGCCGGCTCTGCCTTTAGCGGGCAGGTAGCGTTTACGATTTTCCGATTACGTCATCTTGTCTTTGGCCACATGCCCCATAAACCTGATTCCGTTAGCCACATATGTTAACCAGGAAGCCGCGCAACTAGCCATAAATTCCATAAATTGCCATTAGCTTTGGCCGCACTAAATGGGTTCTGTCAAAAAAAAAAAAAAAAAATAAAAGAGAGAAAAAATTATATATACAAGCGTTGCGCAAGCGCTAAAAGTGTTTTTCTGCAGTACAGCAGAACGGAAGTCGCAGCTGTGCAGCAGCATAATCTTTGTCGTACCTGAACCGGTTGCGACCCAAGTGCCAAGCACAGGTAATGTCCTTGGCTGTCAACTCTACTATATGAACTTTTGGGCAGGTGCGTCGTATACGTGATAATTGACATTTATTATAACTGCACATTGAATACCCTAAAAAATACATATAAAAGAATTATTGCCTATTGCTCAGATGGTCTATATATAATTTATATATTCTGATAATATTTACAGAATTTTCTTCATTAATAATTAATATAAATACTTATTAAAATATATATATTTAATCTCAATAATGTGGATATATTATGTATTACTAAAATCAGCTATCTCTCAGCAAAGATCTTAGCCCATGTTGCACAAAGAGTATTCCACTGAACATATACTTTCCTAAATATATTTATATTTATATATAAAATATTTTCGCTGTGATTAAAAACTAAAAAACAAATGCGAAAAAAACGTGAAAAATCAAGAAAAACAAGTAGCTACCGAATATGAGCAGAATCCGGTTGCCAGCTTTAGAGAGTAGGAAAAGGGGGATCTGGAGTTTGGGTCGTTCACCTAATCAGGCTGGGCTGGTTATATTTGTTTAGTTTTTAACCAAAATAATTATGTCATGGTGTCAGTGATGGAAAGTGTAAATGAACAACAAAATATCCAGTGCTGAGAGTCCAGGCTGCACAGATATTAAATGCTCCACTGTTTCAGCTGCCACTGCTGCAGTTGATGCCAAAGCTGTTGACACACTTTCAATTGCATCACAACGAGTGTTAGTCGTTCGAACTGACCATAAGATGCAGCCAGTTTTGGTTTAGTTTACAATTTCAACTCTAATTATATGTGTGCGTGTGTGAGTGTGTGTGCGAGTGTACGTGTCTGGCTGCAAATTAATTTCATAATTTAACTATTT